CATTAGAAGCTACCAGATACCAAATAGTACCAGGACTTGAAATTGAGGCCAGAAGCATGCTGCTATTAAATGAACTCCACAGCAGTCAACAGCAGAGGGAAGGGCTAAGTCAGACCATCTAGCACAGCAGGTTCTCTTTATTACTGTAGAAGGGTAAGCTCAGAGCACTCGCCCCTTTCCACTCTCTCCACCAGCGTGTATGTTCCAGTCACTTCACAGAGATAAAACCACACACCCAAAGTCAGATTCCCAATGCATCCTTTCATACATAACAGATGTCTTAAACTTAGATAAAAATACAAATTACTGGCTTCTCCATTCCTCTCTCACACAAAGCAAAAAGGAAACTCCCTTGTGATTCTCAGTGATATGCATTTACCTGGGCATCAATAACATATATTAGAGCACCAGTTCCTCTGAAGATCATCTCATAATCAAATGTGGGATCAAAAAAGTCCATCTGTCCAGGAAAATCCCATATTTGGAAATTCACAAATGAACTGTTGGAAATATCATCTTTGTAGATCTTGTTGGTACTTTCCAAGAACAGAGTTTCATTTGGAGACATTTTGTGAAACACCACCTGGTAAAAGAACACAAATAATAGTCTTGACTTTAGAATGTTAGAAGAGACCCGTGAAAGTCCTGTGACTTGAATCTTACAAAGAGGTTTATTCATTCTAAAGCGTACATTTGTCTTTTGGTAAAGAACTTTCTGCATCAGCTGAGGCAATAACTTCCCCTGGACCAGAACCAAGCAACCGGAATTAAACCTTTTCACAAGTCTAAATAACACTGCCACTCAGACACACACATCCCAGTTACTGTTTCATCCTTGCAGGTCTAACACAGGACTTTCCAATTCATCTGTATCAACCAAATTCAGATCTAATGCAAAACCACCATGTTAATGCAGCAACTGTGAGCTTTAAGACTGGAGAGGAAAGGTAATTCCTAAAGGAACCTTCGCTTTTAGTCTGGTGTGAGGCGCTACAACACAGTATAATCAGCCTGATTCTAAACTACAATAGAAGTGTACAAAAATAACATCTCAGTTTTAGAGACCCAAATAGCTGGGTCTAGTAACAACTGAGTTGTGTTTGCTGACCCTCTCCTTTCAAGCACCCTAAAGAAAGGATGAAAGCTTGCACTCCAGTTGATGAACACTACAGCTACACTGGTGAAAAAACATACTCACTGCTACTACTCAAAAAGCCCTACTGTGATTTTAGCCCTTCCCTGAGCAAACACGACTAGTACGTATCCCCCCAGTCTGCTGCAGGGTCAACAGCAATCCTTGTGCTCAAGCAACTCAACTTTATAACAGTTACTACAAGTGTAAGGTGTTCAAATGCCAGGGCTGCAAAAAGAAAGATGTTTCCTACATAGTGCTTGGTAACTTACTTATTTTAATGTTTTCCACCGTTACAGAAGTCACCCGTTAAAGAGCTCTAGTGCGACAATTACTGTCAAAAAACTGCAAGACAAACCACTCCACCCCCAGCATAGCTAATGGATTGCTTGGTGAGATTCAAAGTAGGACGTCAGCCTACATTTTTAAGGTCAAGGGAAAAATATTCAGTTCCTCAAGGCTAATGTTTCATAGAATCCCAGACTGGTTTGGGTTAGAAAAGAGCGTAAAGTTCATCCAGCTCCCACCCCCTGCCTCGGGCAGGGACACCTTCCACTAGATCAGCTTGCTCCAAGCCCCTGTGTCCAACCTGGCCTTGAACACTGCCAGGGATGGGGCAGCCACAGCTTCTCTGGGCACCCTCACAGGGAAGAACTTGTGTCTAATGTCTTACCTCAATCTTCCCTCTCTCTCTCTCTCTATTTTAGGGTTCACTTTTTTCAACTGTGAATAATACAGGAAGATCTCTGCTTTTGCTGCTGGTCTACAATTGGTGCTGTTCACATAACTAAAGACTCAGAAAAATACTATCAGTGCAGCCACTGCATTTGCACATACAGTGCAGGCATTAGGCCTAAATTACAGGGAATAACTGGAAAGACTGAAGAGCAACAACAGCCCAGTCTGCTCCTGAGAAAAATACTCACAGATGCGGTACTTCTTGTAAACTTTGTCTGAAGACAGAAAAGCCCACAGCAGAAGATGCAGGTCTGCAGATCAGTTTAGAACCCATCAGTCTAGTACAGTCTATGGAGTGCCAAGTTGTCTGCATGAGACTGCTAAAAGCAGTAGTGTAGCAGACCCGCTACATTGCAACGTCCAAAACAGGCTCCTCTGCATAAAACATGCAGAAATCTGAAGGTTCCACACTTGCATTTGAAGAAAGCTTGAGGCCCCTAAGCCTGCAGCTTGAGAACTACCTCAATGCACTAGTAACCCCTTCCCTAAAAAACAGGTCACCTTAAACCTTCATAATAGGGACTGCAAATCCGAAGCACGCACTGAGGAGCAAGGATCATGCTCAGCACTACACCTGCCTTGCACTACATCACAAGTGAAAACAGTCAGTTTTGTTTTCTTTTTATTAAGAAACACAACTTCACACAGCTACCGACAAATCTGAGGCACTGAAACTGTTTTATTTCCTCCTCTCTCAGTGACTCTCTGCTCAGTCTACCGTACTGAAGGAAACCAGAAGCTGCCTCTGATGCGAAAGCAGAAGTCTCTTTCAAAGGACCAAAAGGCAGAACAACAGCTCAAGTCTCTTAGAGCGCTAAACGCACCTGAACCGCACACGGCGCTTTTATTTCTGAAGTGCTAAAAGTGAAGAACTACAAAGGCTACGACCTATGCTACATAACCCTTTTCTCTAGAGCTGCCGATCGGTGTCCGTCCTGGGAAACACGCGTCTTTAAGCCGGAGCCTCCCTGCGCTCCAACTTGGCCACATTCGCCCACGTTAAAAAGCAGAAATCGCCTCAACAGCAACGCAGAAAGGAGAAAGAGCTCGGCACCGGAGAGGCAGCGCGGCAGGCGGGGCGGGGAGCCGCCGGTGCCCCTCACCTTCTGGATGGAGGACTTCCCGCTGCGCCGCAGCCCCATCAGCAGGATCCGCGGCTTGGAGTCCGCCCCGCCCGCGCCGCCGCCGGGCCCTCCCGCGCCGCCACCGGGCCCGCCGGGCCCTGGGCCTCCCTCCAGCTCCGCCTCCTCCTCCTCCTCCCCGTAGCCGAAGTCCTTGGGGAAGGAGTCCGCGGCCCCGAAGCTCCCCCCCACCAACGGCGGCTCCTCCGCCGCGCCCGCCGCGCCCGCCCCGCCGAACTGCAGCGCCATGTCCGCCAGCGCCCGGCCCAGCGCCGCCTCTGCGCCGTCAACCCACCCCGACACCACACAGCTCACCGCGGATTGGCTGGCACCGAGCTCCGCGGCGCTGATTGGCTCAGCGAAGCAGCAAGGTAGGATGGCTCCGGTCAGACGACCCGAGTCACCTGACGGCGCGTCCGCACGTGAGCGGGCGAGGCGGGGCTCGGGAGGGGAAGGCGGGACGCACGCTTAGGGCGGGCAGGGAGGCGGCTGCAGGGACACCCCCCGCTGTGAAACAAGGGGCTTCATGCTCATTAAACACTCATTAGCTCTCTCCAGGCACCATCTGTACGAGCAGGCAGCTGGACTGAGGCTGCAACAAGTATTTGTTAAGTCATTCCCGTCATAAGCCAAGGTTCACACGACTCAGCCGCTTCCAGAGAGAAGGGAAGGCAGCTATGAGCAGTGTAAATGTGTACTACAGCCCTCAGAATAGTCTCTGTCACCCCATGACAGCCTCACCGCAACACCTTAGCTGCCTGCTGCTGCTTTGGCAGGACTTGCCCCATGCAGTGTTTGTTTTCCTCCAGTTGTGTTACTCACAGCACACATGCAGCTGCACAAAGCATTTGACAGCATCATCCTCTCCCTCTTTCCACATGCTACAACTTACTGTATTGTCCTAACTTACAGTGAGCTTTCTTCTCTCACTTGCTGTAGAAGGTGGGGTGTTTTTTTCCTGTTTGTTCAGGGCAGGGTTTTGGGGCACTGTCTTACAGATTTCACACAGTATTCCCCCCCCCCCTTTAGCTCTCTTCTGGTCTCTAAATCAATAATAGCAGCACTAGTAAGATAAACACCCATTACAGTTGTTAGCCCTTGATTTCAGTTCCTACACTGCCTTCAGAACACGTTCTGATCCATCCCACACACCTCTAGGACAAGCTGCAAAACCCATCCTAGAAACAAAGAAGTTACACTAACAGCCAGTAGATCTGATACACAACACAGCTACTGCACCTCTCCCTCCTTGTGATTTTTCCTGCCATCAGTTGCCTTTAAAGTACCTAGTTTTAGGAGACAAATGCAGCTCTTCAAAAGGTACATTTTGATTTTCTTTTCCACATTAGATGCATCTGAAAAGAGAACTCCCCACATTGTATTTAACATGTGCCACTAATTACACAGGACATCCATTATGAGTAATAATGTTTTATTCTGTTCAGAACTGTCCAGGTATACCTGCATCAAATCCCCAGGGTTAGAGACATGAACTGCATGGAAACACATACACCTCATGCAAATTAAAGTGCAAGCTCAGTAGGTACTGCACCTCCAACATTGTGCTATATCCACCATGTAGCACAACTCCACTCACTCCTTTTCATGCTCCTATGAGTAGTTAGTTATTCTATCAGCTTCAGCAGAAGCCCACCCTCAGTGCTGAGCATCAACTTGGAACATACCTTGGAGGTCCTGCTTTAGTTCACAGCTGGTCCATCTGTGTCATGTCATCCCCTCCAGTTAAAAGAAAACCAAAGAGAGAGATCAGCAGTTTAAGAGGACCGTTGACCACGAAGCAGAGTTTGCACAAAGCTGGCAGGCTCAGTTATCTACGCATTCATCGCAACTACCACCTTCCCTGAAGCACAGAAAGCAAGAAAGTTGGCCAGTTTGCTTAAACTCATGCGTTGCTGCAGCTGCACGCTCACAATACTGCATCGTTTCTTTAAGATGATGAGGTAACAAACTAGACATCAGAGTTCACACACACAAAAAAAAGACTGCAGTTCTCAGGAAGCCCTTTATTAAGTCAAGATATTAAAGGAGGAACTACTGCTATTCACCAGGCATCTCTTCTTCAGGTGGTTCATACTGAGCCAGCTGTGGATTTAAAGAGAGGAGTTTAGTTAGCTGCAACATTTCAGAGACACTTTCTACATTCAGAAACGTAGGAATACATCTGCTCTGGAAGCGTTCCATTTACTTTGGGCGTTTTAATCCATCGCTGACGTTTATACAAGTCAGGCAACAAAGTATCCCATCCCTCAGAACATCAGCCTGTCACATTGTATAGTCATGAAGTTATAACAAGGAGGTTTAAATAGCCTTTCAAATATATAGGTTTTGTTACCTATTCCTTGTTCTAGGTCTCGTTAAGTACTTTTCATCTCAAATAGCAGTTGATGATGATCAGTGCCCTCTAAGCTTTGATTTCACTGAAACAATCACTCATAGCAGCAGAACCCAAACCAACATTCCCTGCCATCATTCCAGCTTTCACTGTGCTTTCTGGAGACTATGGCCAGGGAATAATGCACTAAAGTATGACCTTTACTTGCAAAGTTATTCCCGAGTAATAATACATGAAGGTGTTTACTTGACCTCAGTTACGCTAAAGATAAAGCTTCAAAACCAGTTCAAGCATTAGGACTGAATCTCAGTCCAGTTTCCTCAATGAAGATTCTTCCCCTCTCCTGCAAACTGTGGAGTAGGTATATAAATTCTAATACCCCCATGTTCCTCATGGCAATTCTAACTTAGAGCAATCCCTCTGTCCCCAACAAGAACCGATAAAATAGCATTCTCATAGATTTAACCACAGATGGCCAGTACACAATCCTGACTTTTCCTATCCACAGAGGGACTAACTATTGCCTTCCTGCCCCTACCCCACCTAAATACCTGACATTCTGACTAGTAGATGCAAGGAAAAGCACAGATCTGCACAGACCACCACCACGTATTTGGACACAAAATTACCACTAAATGCACAATTAAAGGCATGTATTTTGCGCTAGAGGACTGCTAAACTGTAATGTTCTCCCCACATTCTGTCCCTGGAAAGTTCTACAGTATGTCCCAATGACAGGCAGAAGGTGGTAAGGGAAAGAAAGGGAAAACCAAACACAAATACTGGAACACATACAGTAAGAGTTGTTATTTGAAGGCTGAAGAAGGTGAAAGCACAAGTAAACCCATGATTACAGAAAGAGACTTTCCTGCAACAAGTTCTGACTATGTTAAAAGATTCCTTTAAAAACAACAACCCAGGTTACTCTGGTTTCATGTGACTACTTACTATGGGTTGCTTTAAAGTCAGCTACACCAAGTGAACTACTGATCTATTGCTACTCCCCCTAAAATCCTGCTCTTTGCCATATTTCCTAGTAAGAAATAACAAATGGAGCTGTAAGGACTCACAGTGGGTAACAGAAGGAGAAGAATTACAAGGAGACAGCAAGAGGGCACTCCAGATGAGATACACAAAGAAGTAATGCCCAGTATTCCCTTCTCCCATAATTAAGGTCCCTAAACACATGTTTAGGGATGTTTACACATAACAGCTATCCTCTGCCAACAAACACATGGAAACCTGCAGCAGCACATAAGCTACTAGCTTCAGGTTCTCAAAGGTCTCCTTCTTCAGTGTTGTTAGGTTTACCGTCAGTGCCCTCTCCTAAGGGGAAGTTGTTCAGAGCCCTTTCAGCCAGACTGGAGACCCATTACACAAGGGCTCTGCCTCAGGTAACACTTGAGAGCCAGTGTAGTTGCAGCCAGAGGGCCACCAGGCTGGTTTAGCTGAAAAGTGGAAATGAGTGTTCCACATGGATACATGTGCCTCCACTGGTGACATCCTGACACAAGCAAGTCTGTGCAAGGCCATACAAACCAACATGGAATATTCCTCCTTCAGTTTGCCTTTTGAAAGCCTTTATGATAGATACATTAGCTTCTTTTTTTCACCACACTTGTCTGATATTATGTAGCTCATGCTGCCACAACTTAAACACATCCACACAGGACTGAATAAAGTCATGGGATTAGCCTTAATATAGACTTCCACCAAGTAATAAAATCCCTAGTTTTGCAATACTGTTCTATGTTAGAGAATATAAGAAGCATCCCATAAAAAATAATCTGTACTACAACATTTATCAGCATCCCTCAGCCTATACAATGCAACAACACTCATCAGTTACTCTAACAGAAGGAAGTTAGTAGATATATTAAAGTACTCTTCTTGTGGTGTGATGTGGAACTACTGAGGGACACCAAGTAGACTTGTACCTTGGCTTTCAGGTTTTTATTTTCTTCCAACACAGCTTCATATTTCTCTTTCATCTCTGCCACTTCCAAGCGAAGTGCCTCTATTTCTGGATTCTCAGGAGCTAAAGCTCCCAGATGATGCTTCAGAAAGCTGTTATTTAGATGTTAAGTGTTTATTCAGTTAGATAACATAACCATATTTTAATTTTAATACTTATGAAGTTAATGCTGCAATACATATGACCAAAATTGCATTAAAACACTGAAAGTTACTACAGCAGTTTTCATCCTAGGGGATGAAGGTGCAAAAATAAGGAAGTCTGTCAAGTTCATTAGTATTATTCCTTAAAGAAAAAGAAAACAAGACAACAAGACATCAGCATATACAGGGCAAATTCTCATGTTTTACTGCACCGGCCTCTTCCTCTCTGAAATGGAGACGTTCTGAACAGTTAGGAGGAATACTAAAAACCAGAAGCAACAGCCAAAACAGGGCAGCTGCTTAAAACCAGCAAGAAACCAAAAATATTACTTTCCCACACCCCCCTTGCATTAATTAAAAAACAAAGCAGCAGCCAACTTCAGAAGCCACAGATACTGTGATTACTCAAATCTAATGCTGCACGTCTAAGATAGTCTGTAATGGTCTTGTCCTGGGTTCCGCTGTAGCAGTCATTTTCCTCCTTCTTAGTAGCTGGTGCAATGCTGTGTTTTTGACTTTAGTCTGGGAACAACACTGATAGCACTGATGTTTTCAGTTGTTGCTCAGTAATGTTTACCCCAATCAAGGACTTTTCAGTCTCATGCTCTGCCAGGGAAGAGGGGAAGCCAGGAGGAAGCAGAGACAGGACACCTGACCCAAACTGGCCAAAGGGATATTCCATACCACAGCACATCATGCCCAGTATAGAAACTGCAGGAAGTTACCCAAAAGGCCCAGATCACTGCCCAGGTCAAGCTGGGTATCAATTGGCAGGTGCTGAGCAATTGTCTTCTCTCCCCTTGTTATTTCCCCTATCATTATTATTGGTGTCAGCAGTAGTGGTTTGTGTTATACCTTAGTTACTGGACTGGTCTTATCTCAACCTGTGGGAGTTACATTCTTTCCATTCTCCTCCCCATCCCTCCGGGAACAGGGGGAGGAAGGAAGGGAGTGAGCAAGCAGCTGCATGGTTCTGAGTTACCGGCTCGGCTTAAAGCACAACAGGTCTCTAACTTAGCTTTCTAGTTGCTGACACACTGATAGACACACTTCTCTTGCATCCTGTCAGACTTCCTGTTAGCTTGGAAGAATGCAGTTACCAGCTAAAATGCAGCCAGAAAAGCCACGTTCTCCATGTAAGTCTGTAAAGGAGCCTCTCCAGCTCACCTACGGGTCAGAAGCAGTACAGCTGTTGGGTCTGAAGCCTCTATGAACAGTTAGCAGAAGAGAAAAAGGATACTCCAGTGCACTATTTGGTTTCTCTGGCTCTTCATATAAGGCTACCAACACTGCAAATAGAAAATATTCAACAATTGCAACAATTCCATTCAACTCTAAGTTTTAAAACCATGTACCAACAGTCAGAAGGCACACAAGCTGCAATGCCACATTCGCATTGCCCTAAGTAACAAGATTTTCACCTATATACTTTGATGTAAACACATCTGCTGTACAGGAGGGAACAGAGCATTCCACCCAGTGACAGCAGGACAGAAGCTGTATTGATTCCCTGACCACAGTTTTTGGCTATTCTAGCATAAAACAGCCTGGGCAATTTTTATACAGTCTACATACAACCATAGTATTGGCTTTCATCAGCAGTTTTAAGTCTTTAAATGTTTTGGGACTCTCCCAGTCATAAACCATTACTTCCACTTAAGCTTTGAAACACAGGACATCATCAGCACTTCCACAGCTTCCAGCATAAAAGCAAACCCCCATTGACCACCTACAGCTACAAAACTAAATGGCTGCTGTTGACGCTTGTGACACTGGATGTTTATGGACGGAGGTCAGACACCAGCAGCAGTACCCTAACAGTTTGACTGAGACCAGCACAGCCAGCCAGCCACCAACTCCATATCTGGAAAACTCAGTCCAAGTTCTGAACTTATATATCTTTGAATCTTTTGAGTATTCCTGAATACTCAAAGTCCCACACATAAACACTCCCTCCTCCCCACGGGGGCACACATGCGGCTATAGAAAACATCTGCTTTCATCAATACTTAGATGTCTCCTCCCAGTTTCAGATGTCCAAACTGCACAGCCAAGTTGGTTTTAAGCCAAGCACTTCAGTGAAAAACAAGATTAGGATGCCCCACTGGTTGGAAGACCTCATTTTGCCATCCCACAGGCTGTGCAGTATTGTGATAAATCAAATGGTACCCACATACCAGACCGAGAGTCTTAGTGTGGCACCTATTCACTTAAGATCCTAAATCTGCTGCTTTCTCTTTAAACAGTGTGATTTCCAAGAACATTAATACTTTTATCCACGTACTATTGTAAGGCTCTCAAAAAGGCTTCAGAAGGATTTAAAAGACACTAAGCCATACAGAAAGCCAAAACAGGCATCAAGTTTAGCACCACCGTTTCCCCATTGTGCTATGGGGTCACTCTCACAGGTTCAGTAGCTTCAGGAGAAGCACTGAACTCCAGCCAAGAATGGATCCTTTTAAACAAAGTGGTTTTAAGAGCGTATTTGCTGTTATTTCACCTCAAGTATTTCCTTTGTCTGGAGCTCTCTGGCTGAATAACAGCCTCCAAGCAACGTCGCTGTGCCCGAAAGCGAGCACAGAAAAGCACCTCGGCCGGACAAGAAGTCTCCAACACACCCCGTAAGAAGGAAGGAGCCGCCTTCCCGTTCCACGTGCGGTTCTTAGCAACCGACCGACCCGCGCACCATGAACCCAGGTACCCCAGCAGGGGCCTCGGCTCCCCGGGCCGGACCCGGCGAGGGGGAAGCGCGACCGGAGCGGGGGCCTTCCCCCCCCCACCGCCGCGGGGAAGGGAACCGGCGGGCGCGGGCCGCGGACTTACCCTTGGTGAGCGCGTCCAGCACCCCCGCCTTCTCCAGGTACCGGCGGAACTGCTCCCGCTTGGAGTCCTCGGCCTGAGGGAGGACGCCCACACGGTCAGCGCGGCGGCGCTTCCCCCCGCACCTCAGCTAACGGAGGCGGCTCCTTGGGCCCGCCCGGCTCCCCCTTCACCGCCGCGGAGGGGACGCGGAGGGCCGGTGCCTTCCCCCGCGCTGGCGGCGGGACTGGGCCACGCCATCCCCGAGGGCTCGCTCCGCTCCTACCTTGTAATGCGCCATCGACCCCCTCAACGCGCCTGCGCGCCCGCGCGACTGCGCCCTGTGGTTTTACGGCGCCGGGCGCGTCCCCGCCGTTACCATAGCGACCGAACGGCCGCAACGCCTCCGGGCGGGCCGGGACCGCACCGCGCCCGTTCCCCCGCCGGCCCCGCTTCTCGGGCCGCGTTCCTGGGCCCCGTTCCGGGTCTCGCCTCAGCCGGGCAGCGCCGGTGTTGTCCCGACACAGCGCCAAGGTGGTTCATCGTCTGCCAAGCGGCAGCTCCCCAAAGCCAGCGCGGCTGAGCCCTGCGCACATCGGGTTATATGTGTTTCAGAGGACAAAAAACTGCCTTTCATGGTCAGAAGTTATCACATATATCATTAATTCTCTACCTTCCAGTGGGTAAATTGTTCTTGCTTGCCATGTAAATTAGCACGGGAAGGTGCATGGTCCTGGGTTAAGTCAGTGGTTGCCATCTCCCCCAGACACCGTGCCCCTTAACCCAATCACCGCTATGGCTTGTTGACTTCCTGCTTTTCTAGGCCTTGTTTTGTCTTCGGCACCTTCTACTGCAGATGTCCTCCTTTTATCAGGCCTTTAGCTCTTCTTCCAAGGTCAGGGCAAGTCAGTAAGGACTGTATTGCTCATACAAAGTCTTGTTTCTCCAGGTGATGGTGTTCATCAAGCCAGACACCGTTATCACCGTGGCAAAGCCCATTTGTGGTGTACATCACCAGGCAGCAGTCATCCAGACCACGGGGAGATGTGATGTCTGGGCATTCACCATGTCCCCGCGCAGTGAAGTACCACCCAGGATCGCAGCTTTCAGCTTTCAGGTCAGATAACTCAGGGCTTGGGTAGTAACTGGACCTCAATGAACAATGTCCAGAGTAGGAAGTTGCTGCAGCTGCAGAGTTGCCTTCCCAAGGGGCTCCTGAAAGTTTTATGTGGCAACACTCTGCATCAAAAAGAAAGTCTTTGACCTCCGCCTGTTACAAAAATGGAAGCGGTTTTACTGGTTTATTTTTGTGAAACACTGGTATTTACTGACTGGTCAAGTCTGTTTGCTATAAAAATAGAAAGAAAAAGAACCAATGGAATAATCTTGTAATGTTAGGGTCCTTTCAGACTTTTTCTGCACACTGTTCCTGCAGTGTCTGCAGGAATTATGTCACTCTTTTCTGTTGGGAAGGTGCCATGATGATGAAATAAATTGCCTGACCCATGTCCACAAAAAAAGCGAATAAAAATCCTCTGATTTGTAAAACAAATTCTTTTGTATCTTGTCTTGAAGCATCGGAAATGCAAATGTCATATCCCGTAGGTGAGCATCTGAATGCTACTTCTTTATTATTAGACAGCAGGAGCAGAGTGCATTAAATACAAGGCTTTTTATTACAGACATTAAATGCCAAACATGCACTAGCACAGTTATCACCTGAAGAAACTTACACATTGAGAAGTGCAAGAATTAAAGCCACAGTAGTAGGATTAACTCAGCTAAATCACACTACACATATATATACACATCGTATAATACATTGCTGTGTATTGTGCAATGTTAAATTTTACAGTGTAGCAGAATTACATAGGCTCTATTTATGATTACACATAGAGCAACACTAGAGGTGAGAATAGCTGCTGGAAAAAAAACAGCAAATAATTTTAGTGGTATTAATGTGTATTTCTGTGTGGACAGAGCCAAATTAATGCTGCTGCAAGCAAGACTTTCAGGTTTCCTGGCTCCTTTTTTTCCCTAATACTGTAAAGCCTTTGGCCAATCTAAACCATGGCTGGCTCATAAGCTTAATGATAACACACATTAAGAATTTAATGATGCCATAATATCATGATGCTACATCTCACATATTATCTTTCCAGTACACGTACCTTAAGTCAAAAGCCACACAGGTACACGCTGCTGCATCCCAGATGTGCCACCTCGCTAAGGACTTGCAGCCTGTCAGTGCTGAGCCACTCAAGTAAACGTATTTCATTCATAGACCTACCGATTACAAATGTAACACAGTATTTTGTTTGTCTTTCCATCCATTCCATGGAACTTGCCTGGAGCAGCAAGTGGATGAATGTCCTTTATTCGTTCTATTACCCCCATAAAAAGCTCCTTCTAAACAATTACAAGCATTCTTCAATTTAAAAGCTTGCAGAATTTAGGGGACAGACAAAAAAGGAGTAATTCTACAGTTTGATAAAGCTTTTCTATATTTTTTGACATAGTAACTGAAAGTAGCACGGTATTGCCATTTGTTCCCCATAGTAAGTCTGGTTGGTGAAATCCAAAACTTCTCATTAATAAATTCCAATAACTTGTTTGCTGATTAAAGAAAAAGATAACTTACTAGTTGTATGCAAAATCTGACAATTAAAGCTTGTAACTCACCTGGAAATTACAGTGCTTGGAAACTGTAATAGTGTATTTAATGTTAACAGAGATTCACTCTGCTTTTTCTGCCGAGGAAGTCAATGGTGATACACTGAAAAAAGTATACTGCGGTGTCCGCGAATTAGTGATACATGTATCAAATGCTTTGTTCTTTTTGTATTTAACGCAGTTCAAACAGGAATACATTTGACATTCTGCTTTCAGGCAGTGCTCAAATGCCTGTGTGAATTCTCAGAGAGATTAAGCAGAACTATATTTACTGATAATGAATTTCTCCTGAGAGCACCAGTGCTGTCTTTAGTCTCATTTCATTTATTGGTCTTTGTAAAATACATTATTAGACTGTAAATTTTGTCTTCTAGTTTTATTCAGTTTAAATAGTATTAGCTGTGATTTTATGTCTGACTTTTCCTAATATGTGGACTACATGATGTGTGTTTCCCTTTCGAGCTGGAAGGATAATGTGTAAGTTTATATGCTGAGGTCTAAGCCACCTTTTCATTACAAAGGAAGTTAAGAGCCTGTTTAAAAGTTACTTAGCTAAGATCCAAAGTGCTTTTCTAGCTATGTGGAACAACTGTTTCAAGCTCAGTAATTTAGCTACTCTTACACATAGGTCCTGCTTGTGTCTCAGTGGTCAGTAATTACCCAGAACTGATCAGTGCGATTGAGGGTTAACTGGTGCTATATCTGCAGATCAGTGGGTGCTCGCCTGCTGCTGGCACTGCTTGACATGGACACTCGTCTAGACAGAGAGAAAGGCTTAGGGCTGTCACAGGTTCTACTTTGTTTAGACCCTGAGCTCACCTCGCCTGTAGAGTCAGGAGTGTCTGGTCGACTACATTTCTTTACATCAGCATTGCAAGGAGCTTGGGCTTTGTCTGCACTGAAAGTGCTCTGTCTTCTGTTGCTGGTCTTTGGAAGAGAGTTTGTAGAAGCTTCTGCACTCTCAGCCACTGCTGAGCAGTTCCAAGATGAACTGATTCCATGTTGTCTTCTGAAACCGGTAACGGGAAAAGTTGTGTGGGGTTGTAGTGAAGTTTGAGATGCCGTTTCAGCACAGCTTCCCAAGCACATGCTTGAAGCTAGAGCTGCATTCTGAGTAACAACAAGGAAATGTTTCTTTTCAGCTTCTTTTTGCACATCATGTGCTTCTTTCCCAAGCTCTCCAAGCAAGCCTTCATTATTATTGGTGATGGTATTTTGAGTCTGATTGCCTAAAGCATTTGTAGCTGGCCTCTTCTTTGGAGACTTGATGTCCTGATTGCAGTGAGTGTAATTGCTGCTGCTTTCTGTACGGTTGTTTTGCACAGGCTGAAACATGGGAGGAGCATTTAGAAGTGGGTAGACAGCGGCCCCAGTTTGCTTTTCCATTAAGAAGGTATAGCCACTAAGTGCAGAAGGAAGAGTTTTTTGAGGGGTGGTGGCTATTCCCAAAGAAGAGTGTGGTATCACAGAGTACTTCTTAGATTTGTTTATGCAGAAATTTTCAGGGTCATCCTTGGTTTTACTCTGCCCACAAAGTCCCATTTTGATCTTTCGGAATCCCAGATGGATAATTTCAAGGATATTTAGAAGCAATGATACGGTTGCTATTGATTGCATGAATAAGATGAACACTGTCTTTTCTGTTGGTCTAGACACAAAGCAGTCAACAGTGTTTGGACAAGGATCTCTCTTACATTTATAAAGGGGATCTAGATGAAAGCCATAAAGAAGATACTGCCCAATCATAAACCCGACTTCCACTGCAGATCTTGTGAAAATATGTATCACATAAGTGCAGAGCAAAGAGCCTCTCAGGGGTGCTTTGTTCAGCTTTCTTTGATCCAGCTGTCGGAGTTCTCTCTCCAGCCTTTTCCTATTTTCAGTCATTTCTAGTTCAGTGCTTTCAAGTTCCACCCTTACCTGAGCTTTCTTTTTTTGCCTCTCTTTCTCCAAGGCTCTTAGTCTGTATAAGGCATGTCCCATATATACCAAGGAAGGGGAAGACACAAATATAACTTGCAAGACCCAATACCTTATGAGAGAGATGGGAAAGGCCTCATCATAGCACACATTCCTGCAACCAGGTTGCTCAGTATTGCATATAAATTCAGATTGTTCATCATTCCAAACATCCTCAGTTGCCACTCCAAGGACAAGCATTCGAAATATGAAGAGGATCGTTAGCCAAATCTTTCCAATAATAGTGGAATGAATGTGGACCTCCTCTAAAATGCCACCAAGGAAATTCCAGTCTCCCATGGTTATTCTGCCATCTTAACACTAAAACATATGAGAGAAAAAAGTGTCAAACATTGAAGCTGGAGTTCTTTCTTAACACAGTGCATGACCCACTGCTCACTGAGAATCTGGGTGTTACTGTCTCCCATCTACAAGACAGAGAAATGCATCATCCACCTCTGTCTAATGTATCAGTAAAAGACATCCTGATAAGCTCATCACTATGAAATATTAAGCACCCTCAGTCTATATCAGGATGCCTGACTTGTTGTAGGATTTTAAGAGCATTATGCAATATGTTTGAGCCAACAGCAGCATCAGAGCAGCATGTTTCTACTTAGGACACTTCTGAAGGTACAGGAGTATTTCCCAGTCCTCCTTTTCAGATGTTCCAAGCCCCACATCACAGCTGAAGTTACAGTGATGTCCAATGACTCTCCGCAGCAAAAACTGGTTATACAAAAGTACTCAAAAACCATCTTATCCACCAGAATTCGATAATACTAAAAATAGAATAATCTGATTTTTTAATTTATTTATTCTTTTTAGGATAAAGGTGTTTGAACACCACTAAACCCAGTGTTTTCTGTTCAAATGGGACTCGTTTTCACCCTGTAGAACAGGAGTGTTAAGAAATCAAGCGGAAGTTGCAGTCTTACAGCTGCAATGCCAATGACTATACAGGCAACTTTATGTTAAGGCAGCCTATCAAACCTGAAAATACTCTTGCAGATTGCTGTACAAATGGGCAGCAAGTCAGACAGGTTTGAAAGATAAAGAAATGAAACAGAAATGGCAAATTAAAATGAACACATACCTTTCTTTACAAAAACCTGTAAAATTACAGACCCTCAGCATCCAGCGACGCGTTACAGCCGCCGTCATCTTCCACCCATCTGAGGAAACTTCACATTATAAGCAGTTTATTTTGCTCCAAGAGCCAGTGCTGGAGCACAAGCTTTGACACACAGAGGTTATATTTGCTAGGGATGGAGGGAGGAGAAAATCAATCAGTGTTCAGTCTGCTACTGCTCCAAGCCTAATTTAACTATGACCAATGAAAGAATCTCCTTTTAAAAAGCCAGAAATGAAAAATCTGCAGTTCTAATTTCCTTCAGATTATCTTCCCTTTCACCTCTCCAGCACCCTCCACATTTTAAGAACAATCTCAACCTCAGACAAACAGAAGAAAAGAAAACTTTCTAAGTTTTTGTGTCCCTATCTCACAGAACCCCTCGGCTTGCCTGTGCAGAGGTGAAGAAGGTAAATTCTCCCAAATAGCATCACTGTAAATCCCTGCAGATAGTCTGTTCTCCTGGAGCTGCTTAGCACCACGGTTCTCGTGTAAAAACCCAGTGTAGCACTTTCATCCCCTACATACTCATTTCCTCTTCATGACAGCATCTCTCTTTCTGTTCTTCAATTTTGCATCTCTTGTTTGTTCTCCTTGTGCCCTCTCACTTGTCACATTGATGACTTTAAAACACCCCATTTTCGCCATCTGTATAATTCAAGTATTTCTTTTCAGGAGTAAGTCATTATCATTCCAGTTTAATTCCAGTGTTTGGGTTAGGAGGGACCTTAAAATACCACTCAGTCCAAATCCCTGCCACAGGCAAGGGCACCTTCCACTAGACCAGATTGCTCAGATCCCCATCCAACCTGAGTTTGAGCACTTCCAATGATGGAGCATTCACAAGTTCTCTGCCAACGTGTGTCTCACCACCCTCATTTCTTTGCTTACGTAAAGGTTTAAGAGTAAACACCATCTTGAAGAAGTCCACCTGGCACTGGGGGATAGATCCCAGTTTATAAGCAGAGCTGATGCACAGACAATTCTTCCGGAGAGCTTCAAATCTACGTGAATTGATTTTTCAGCCTGTTGGACTGCTCTGGTGCATCTGGGGGACCAGTGATGAGCTGGGGAACCAACTTTCAAACACTCTAAACTTTAGGAAATGCCTGCAAAAAATGTTGGGGGAAAGGGAGGGAAAGAGACTTCATTTTAGAAAAGGAAAGTTGAGGGAAAGAAATATGCTTGTTTTGTGTTCAAAGACTGCCTTGGAGCCAGCATTAGCAGTGCAGCAGTGTGCCTGGTATTAATGTGTAAGTCCCCCCTCTAGGACTGATATGAGTGGAGTATATCTAATACTATAGAGCTCTTTCAGATGATTCTCCTCGGTGCCCTGTGTCCTGGGTTCAGCAGTAGCAGTCATGTTTTTCTTTTGTGGCAGCTGGTGCAGTGCTGTGTTTTGACTTCCAGCCTGGGAACAGTGTATATTCCTTATCCAAGTGTCCTGTATGGGGTAAATAAACTTCCTCTGCTGAGAACTCTACAAAGCTAATCATTATCTTCTAATTTGGGTGCTGAGGATCAGTCAATAGGTCACGTCCGATTTCATAGTTAAATGACAGCCTGGAAGTATTCGATCATTTTGATAAGCCAGCAACCTACAGCAGCCTGTTTGGTGCTTCCAGCAGGTTTCTAACTGTCTTTTCTACAGAGTACTTAAAGTAGGTTTCTAAACATGTTTCTGATATTCCTGAAAAGAATTCCAAGTCTGTTGAAGTGGTCCACAGGCTCCTCCACCCCACAAAGATGCTACAGCTTTGTTTGAACATCCAAAGTGTTTGCTGAGACTGAACTATGGTGGCTGGGGAGCTGCTTGTTCTGTGAAAGGTGCTAGGACAAACACTGAATGATCTGCACATAATGTTCTGGGCTCCATTAGCTCATTTATAGTAGTATTTCAGTCAAATGACAACTTGACAAGTTGTGGGGGGGGAATGAATTCAAGCACCAAGTGTTGCTCTTTACCTAAGTCCAAGCATTTTGCACATGTGGCTATACAAACCATCATACCGACATTCAGTGTTTAGCAACAGAATATTTAGTGATACAAGGTTTGCTGCAAAACATCCCCCAAACTTCAACAACTCAATTGTATTTTCTTAGCTCGGGGTCAAACACCACCGAAATCATTCAATCATGGAAATATTCTATGAATATCAACACCTTTTCATCCCTACTCATCAATAACGTGCATTTTATGTGTACAATTGATTTTTCTGTTCTACTGTACTTGTCTGACCCACAATGGCCAGCTAGAGGCACAAACAGCAGGGATGTGTCCTACAGGCTTTCAGGGTAATGTGGACACTTGCCCATGGTTTTCTTTCGGTAGTGACATTAGGATCACAAATGCTAAACTGCAATACTGAGAAATTTGGACCTTCGTAGTACCCAATATTGCCTTCAGGACCACCAGCAGCACTGTGTTTGAAGGCAGCCCAGAGAATGCCATGGGAGAGCTGAGGCACACACTCTTCACGTTTTCTGTGCTGGCTTATCGATTCATTTTTTACTACAAAGATAAACGTGAACCAGTAGGTGCAGATTTATGAAGATGTCCTCACATTTATTCCCATGTTTGGGGGGGGGGGGGGGGGGGGGGGGCGCGGGGGGCAGTAATCTGCTATTTTTAAGCTTAAATAAAAGCATTTCCAGTTGGGACTTCCCTTTTCCCCACTTTGTCAGGTTCAAGCCATTCCCCTCGGCCTGTCCCTACAGGCCCTCGTCCAAAGCCCCTCTCCAGGTTCCCTGTAGCCCCTTTAGGCACTGGAATGCCCTCGGGAAGCGCAGCACCAGGAAACCTCGGCACCGAGGGCCCCGGGTGAAGAGGTCAGAACGGGCTGAGCCCGGACGCACACCGGGGCACTGCGCAGGCGCGGAGGAACGCTAACCAGCGAGGCGGGGAGCAGCGTCCTGCCAAGCCAATGACCGGCGAGCAGGGGCGGGGCCGGCGCTCCCCATAGGCTGAGGGGCAGGGAGGGGCGGGGCTCTGTCGCTTTTCCTCTGCCCCTCCTCTCGCCTCTCGCTTCCCGCCCCCTGGCTGTAACGGTCGCGGGCAGCGCGGCGGAGGCAGGTGAGGGGCTCGGAGCCGTCCCGCTGCCGGCACCGCGGCGCGGGCCTCGGCCTGGGGCACAAAGCTCCCCCCCCCCTCGGTGAAACCACCCCTTCTCTCTCCCCGCCCCGCAGGGACCGGCTCCGTTCCGCTCCCCGCGCCCCTCAGGGACCGGTGCCCCTCAGGGAGGGCCTTCCCCTCTCTCCACCCAAATCACTGCCGGCGGGGCGAAGCGTTTCCCCTCACAGCCTCGCTTCACATCACTGCGCGTCCCCTCCAAGCTCTCCCCTTCCACCGGGTAAAGCGCTGCTCCCCCTCTTCGTGACCCACCTCTCTCTCCTTTCCTACCCCCTCTGCAGGGCCTGCTCCTGGGGTGGGTGCTGTGACTGCGTGTGAGGGTGTGCGGGGTGAGGTGGGAGCACTTTGTTTTGTCTATATTATGTCAAAAGCCACGCTTGTATTTCCCTGCTGTCACTGTAGTGCTGGAGTCTGGGTTTCCAACTCAGGACTGTCAGAAACATACCTAAATTGAGCATAATAAGTGGTATATTTAGCTAGAAGTGTTGTATTTCTTTGCTGAGCGAAATGCTGCTGCTGTTTCATTAGCCTGTTGTATTCCCAGTGTCTGTCCCGTGTTGTAAAATCTGTGTCTGTTTCCTAAGAATTAATGGTTTCTGTGAGCTCTTTGAATCAGTTAAGCACAAATCTGTAGGAGCTGGCAATTGAGGATTTAGTATCTGGCTGGTGGAGTGGAGAGCAGCCCTGAATGTCCACAGCCTGAGAGCTGCAAATCATAACTTGCATCATTAGAGTTAGGAACTTCACTGTCTGAAGTACTTGGATAAGCAGATCAATTAAACCAGAGCTCTAGACTGATAATGACTGCCATTTATGGAGCAGCAATGCCAGGTTGTGAATGGCTGCATTTCTGCCTGTAGTTGCTCTGTGACCTCTACAGAGGGCAGAAATGAACTGGTTTGGAGTTAAGACTTGTGAAAGGAAATTTTTGGTCTCTGTAGACATAAAGGCAGCGTGTAGGTACCATGGTGACTGATGCTCTATAAATAACCACGATGGGGATAACACATGCCCCAGTTGAAAGGAGCTGCTGAAGTGCTGCAGACCTGGAGAATGTTGCAAACAGGAACTCTGCTCATTTCTCAGGCATGAAGAAAACCTACAGTAACTGCAAAGGCTTTTCTTTAAGGCCTCTGTGCTGCGGGGATGAAGCAGAGACATTCTTGGGAAGAGATGCTCATTAAATGCGAAATACTGTGTTAATCTGAATGGAGAGTAACTGTTGTGTGTGTACCCCTTGGTTAGTGGGAACAGGGTCTGGTTTATACTGACTTAGTGATTTTGATGTATTGCTCTGTAGTTCACTGGACAGATAAGATGGCTGCTCTGGAGAAACAGCCAGACCTGAGGCTCCAGCAGAACAATCCACCGGGTAAGAATAGTCCTTTCTTTAAAGCCCTGCTGCTGTCGGATCCTGTTTCAGCTCCCCTGAGGAG